AGTCTGGGATGTATAACACAAGAAGAATTCAGTAATGTGGTGTTCCTCAATCCAGCCTGCTGTCTTCTACCTTCCAGGGTCTTGTGTCTGTTTCAGGTATAACTGCCAGGGATTTTAGTTGTACTGAGCAGGAAGAGTAGGGGGACGTGTTCACTCCATCCTCCTAGAAGTAGAAGCTCTTATTGCTTTTGTTCTGGACTAATCTCACACACCAGGCTGTCCATGTTGTGAATCCAGGAGCTGTGTTTTGTTCCCTGCTATATCTCAACACCTTGAACAGTGCCTGGCTGTAGTAGTTGTTCATTAATGAGTGAATGAATGAATGCAGATACAATGAAATAAAACTAGATTAATAGATTGACGAAAACAGCACTCTATCACTGCAGCTGGAAGGCTCAGGCTGTGCCCATGAGCCTTTCTCTTTCTTCCCTCTCATCCTGCAGCCCCCAGGACTCCCATGCAGGCAGTTTTAAAACTCTGGAGTTGGAGCACCTGCTAGTGTTTGCAACATGAGTTTCTGAGCTGGTGCAGTGAGATATGTGGGTGGTTGGCCTGGTTCTCTGAGCCATGAGCAGAGTGGACACGGGAGGAGAGGGAAAGTTGGTGACAGGGGAGGGGTGGTTGTCAACCTACTCTGCCCTCTGGGAGCTATGCAGAGCCAGGGGCCGAGGAATGCTGGGGGCAGATTCGGAGATACACAGACACCTTACAATCTGCCCCACGTCAGTGGGAAGACTGTAACTGATCACGAGGGGAGGGCGCCCCAGCCACTGCAGGCCAGAGGGACACCAGCTCACTGCGAGGGACAGAGCAGGGCACAAATGCCCACTCCAGGCCGCCTTCAGAGCTCAGCAGCCCGACAGCACTGGGAGCTGAATGTCAGTCAGCTCTGAGGCCCCGCTGCTTTCTTCATGGCCCCCTTGGGCAGCCACATCCCTTCCCTTGCTCCAGTTGTAGAGGAAAGGAGGCCAGAGCCACCTGCCTCCAGAGACATGAGCAAGAGCAAGCTTCCTGCTGACCACACAGCTTCTTGCCAGCGATGCCAGCACTCCTCCCAGTGGTGGTGGGAGCCCAGGCTTCTGGGGTCACAGAAGCAGAGCTGCCCCCAAGGAATCAACTGGGCCTGCAGACAGGGCAGGGGCAGCCTGGAGTCCCCAGCAAGGGTCGAGCCAGGCGGGCTGCTCCCAGTGAGTCATGGAGAGTGAGAGTTATGGGCAGCAGCAGTGTGGCCCTGGATTCTGCAGAGATAGAACCAGGGCCAGAGAGGCACTGCCAGGACCAGAGAGAGAGCCTTCTGGGATCCGGCCCAACTTGCTGCTCTTGCTATGGGACCTGGCAAGGTCCAGAGACATCTCTGGGCCTTGTAGCTCTTATCATCTACAATTCCACGATGTCCCACTACCCTCAGTCTGCAGTGATTTTTCGGGGCAGGGTTTTTATTGCATGTCAGGGGAAGAGCACCCTGTTTTGGCTAGATGCAAAACACAAGCAGCAAGTGTTTGTCTAGGACTCGCTTTCCACTCTCACGGTATCACCAGGGCAGCTGACAGGGCCCCATCCAGGCAGGGTCAGGCGGGTGAGCAAGGGAGGAAAGTGTGGGTGAGTGCCAGGCAGTGGGGTAGTGGGGACTGGGGGATATGCAGCACACACACCCATGGAAAGGGGCAGTCAGGTCACGTGGCTGCCTGTGCCCATGGGCCTGGCTGCTTAGGCACAGGCACAGCCAGAGCAAGGGACAGCAAAGGGCTTCCCAAAGTGGCCATTCGGACCCATCAGCCCACCCAACGGTAAGATAACAATATGTACATTTTTACTTTAAGCCACTAGATTTGGGGGGTGATGCAGTAGAGAACTAGATGCTACTCGTGAGCGTCTCATGAGGTGAAAATGGACCACCCCATTTCATATCTGGGGGTACTGGGGCATGGAGGGATAAGTGGCTTGGCCACATTCACAGCTGGCAAGGGCCAGAGCCAATCCCAGAATCCCTTCTACACTCTTCTTACCACCAGGCTTCTACCGCCGGGGCCTTGGACTTCCTGGGATGTGTCCTTCTCAGAAACTGAAGCTCTGGAGCCCCAGCCCTCCTTCTCCGGCTGGGACAGAAGTTGCAGGCTGGTACCATCTCCCCTCAGAGCCAACCTCCTCTCTGGGGCCAGGGTTGTGGCAGATGGCTTCACATATTAAATAAGAGAGGAGGCGTGACATACCCCCCATGAGGCCCCAAATTCGAGGGATGAAAAATGATGCCTCTACGGCAGGGAGAATGGATTGGGCCCCGATTTACATAAGCCCATAGGAATTCAGGCTCTCATGGGGGGCAGAGGGAGCAAAGCTGCAAGGCAGGCAGCTTGGGTTCCTGGGGAAGAAGGGCCTATGGATGCCACCAGCAGGTTCTGTGGGGACTGAGCCCTAGGGGAGTGTGGGGGTGGCAGATCACATTTCTGTCACTCACAGCTGTTTGACCTGAGCTTCCTTACGCAACACGAGACCACTGTGCATGTTCAATCTCCCACTGGTAGCAGTGATGTAAGAAGGGCCAGAGGCAGGAGTGGTGGTGCACACCTGTAATCCTAGCACTTTAGGAGGCTGAGGCAGGAGGATCTGAAGTTTGAGCTCAGCCTGTGAAACTTAGCAACTTAGTGAGACTCTGTCTCAAAACAAGAAATGTAGGGGCCAGGGATTCAGCTCAGTGGTTCCACTGCCCGCCTTGCATGCGCAAGGACCTGAGTTTGATCCCCGGTACCAAAATAACAGGGGCGGGGGACTGGGGATGCAGCTCATTGTGAGGGCCCTGGGCTCAATCTCTAATACCACAAAAGGAAAAAAAAGGAGAGCTGGTGCTTATGGAGCAGTCACTCTGCTTGGGACATTGGGCTCAGCACACCTGTGAGTCGTCTCATTACCCATCATCCCAGATTCACTGAGAACACTGTATTGGAGCCAGACTGCCTGGGTTTGAACACTCCTCTGCCTGCATGTGCTGGATCAGCTCGGGCAGGCTGCTGGGGTTCTCTGTGCTCTGTGAAGTACCCACCTCACAGCTCTATAGCAATCATGACATGTCAGGGCCAGTACACAGTCAACAATCAAAAATGTGAGTTCCCTTCCTTCGTGACCTCCTCCGGGCCAGGCTGGCTGCCTTCCAAGGCCAAGGACTTGCAGGGAACCCCCCTGGGGTAGCAGTGGGATCGGAGCCTGGGCTGGCTCCTGGGCACTGTGCTCCTTGGAGGCATGGGCTGGTGATGACAGGTCAGGATCCCTCAGCCTTTAAAGGGCGGAGCTGTGTGTGGGGGAGAGGCAGAGACGAGACCCTGACTGAGAATCCGGAGGTCCAAGCCCTCTGACCTCCTCCTGCCTCCTCTCTGTCCTGACCTCCACCAGGGTGCTCACCCGCCTCCAGGATTTGCAGTCTGATCGCCTTCTTCCCTGTCTGCCCCACAGAATTCTTCCTGGGACCCCGAAGCTCTCAGTGAGCCGTCTCCATACCCCATGGCACCAGGGTGCAGAGCACGGCTTGGTCACTTGTCTCCAGCCCATGGGACAAGGCTGTCATAGCCCTGGCTGAGCTCCTAGAAGAATGGCTGTCCTGGAGGCAGTGGCCAGTGAATTGCTGAATGACTGAATGGGCCGCCAGGTGCCCAGGCACCAGGCCCGGACCCGGACAGCCTGTGCAGTGGACAACTGTGGTCACTGTGGTCTTCCCGGTGTTCAGTCTCTCGCCTGCTAACAGCCACTGTGCCACTGGGGACTTCTCCTCTCCCTGCCTGAGGGCTTGGCCCTGCCAACGCAGGCTAGACCCTGAGAGCGGGCCTGCCTCCCCCAGGTCTAAATCATGGCTTAGGGATCACAACCAGGATTTTTGCTGGAAATATTGGAAAGATACCCCATCTCTGTGGCTTTGGTCCTTTAGTAAGCTCCAAGCCCAGAACTGTTCATGATGACCACCTTTGCTACCTCGGGGAAGAGCTGCTTGAGAATGAAACTGACACAGAGGCAACGGGGAGAGAATGTCTGAGTTGCAAACGAAATCACTTGGTCAGCTGGATCCAGCTATGCCTGAAGCAGACGTGGTTGCTCACCTTCTATCCCTTCCACCCACTCCCCATTTGAGAGCTTTGACTCATTCCTGCTCCAGAGGAGGGCCTGGCTGGGCCGAGCCAACATTCCCCCAGTTGCAGTGAGGATGCAGGAGAGAGAAAAGGACCTACGCCCAACAGAGAAGCCCCTTTCCCCTCCCTTGCATTCTCTGGGCCTCCATCACCAGGCTCGGGAGAAGCTTCCTCGCCACCAAGAGGGAAGCAGGGCTGGGCCGGACTCACAGAGGAAAAGAATCAGCTCCCAGCCACCACTCCGCTCCCAGGGCCGTGAGCTAATACAGCCCCCTCGAGCCAACACTGACACAGCTGGGGTTCTGTGTTCCGATCTGGAGTGTCCTGGCTGGGCCACTGGGCTTCCAGACATACACCAAATAAGCACTCCTGCTTCACTGGAGCGCGGACCCCACCACTCCTGAAACAGCCCCCCGCTTTGCTGCCTCCCCTGTGCACACAGTGCGGACCCAACCCTCGAGGGGACCCTTCCAGCCTCCAGGGTGCCCCGCCCTTGGTGCCCCTCCAGACTCCAGTCTCGCCAGCTCCCCTCTCCCCCTTCCAGAGCAGGGTCAGCTTTGTCACACCTGCTCAGTGCCGTGTGACAGCAGCTGTAGATAACGTACAAACAATGAGTGGGCTGCTCGCCAAGAAAACTTTATTTATTATGGACAATGAAATTTGAATTTCATGTAATTTTCACATGGCACAAAATACCATCCTGCTTTGGATTTGCTTCCAAGCGTCTGAAAATGTAAAACTCACCATCTTAAGGGCAGAGGGCCAGATGAGGTCCTCGGGCCCTACTTTGCCAACCCCACTGGAGGGCCTCCAGGTGCCTGGGACTCAGGTGCCCTGCCTTCCCGGGGCTCTGAAAGTGCTCTCGCCCTGAGGGTCAGCAGCACTTACCAGAAGGACCACCCGTAGTCCCAGGAATGGGGTCGCCAGTCTTCAGGGCCGAGGCTCACGGTGACCTGGAACACCTGTGTGTACATCATGTGGGCGACCATCCCCAGGAGACCTGCAACAGACACAGGGAGTAAGGAGAGCAGGACCCACCCCCACCCCAGGCCCCGTGCCCGCCTGCCTGCTGGGAACCCTGGGAAGGGAGGTCAGTGAAGACAGGACGCAGCGGGCCAGGGGGCCAGCTTCTAAACTGGCCGAGGAGCCTGAGTTGGGGCCACAGGGCTGAGGGCAGCTTGGGAGAAATGAAAGCAGAGGAGGCACAGTCAGATCAGTGTACAGATCTGCAAAGGCCAGGCAAGTAAAACACCCTAGAGTCTGTGGATGGTGCAGGTTCTGCTGCACTGTGCAGCCCTGCCAGGGTAGCATGAAGGGAGTCAGAGGCATACATAAATGGTTGTGTGTGGCTGTGTTTCAATAAAACTTTATTTACAACAACAGGCAAGGGGCCAGATTTAGGCAACAGTCATGGCTGGCTGGTACCTGTGTTAGAAGGCCATTCACGGGGAACAACCTAGAGAGTGTTTTTCAAACTACAGGTCTTGACTCGCTAGACCAGTGGGTCATGAAATTAACATCCTAGATTTTGGATGCAGACAGTGTGTTGAGGGAGAGGGAAAGAGCGAGAGAGAGACAGAGAGAGAATGAAATGGAATAGAAATACCTGGTACTGTCGAATCTAGCAGGAGTAAACATTACTGTGTGAAATTTTCTGTTCCATGCCTGCGTGTGTGTGTGATTTTCATGGATTTTTTGGCTCAGGAGCACACTGGCTTGGAGAACTCTGATCGCCAGGGATCTGAGTGTGAAGCCTCCTTCTGCATGGCTCTGGGCAGGGGACTTCACCCCTCTGAGCCTCAGGTCCTTCCACGCACTGAGGACGAGGATGATGGCAAGTACTGGGAGTCACCGGCGACTCCGGGTAAGGCTGCTGTGAGGTCTGCGCAGAGTGGGTGCGAACTACACCTGCAACGGGGATTAACCCGAAGCAGACACGCTCCTCTGCGGGGACTGTGGCTCCACAGCCCACCTGGGTGCCACGACGTGTGGCTAGCCGGTGTGGACTCGACCTTACGAAGGAGTGATACAGTACTGCAGAGGAGGAGGAGGGTAGATGGTATGAGGAAGCAAGGAAACCGACCATGCTTGTGTGCATGTTTATACCAATGCTTGCTCAGACGCTTTCACCTTCATTATTATCTCTTGATATTTGTAGCAGCCTTCAGAAACAAGCACCATGATTAGGGCTGTGCTCTGATGCTGGGTTGCTCCCTGCACCTTGCCAAAGCAGCCGTTCACATCGTAGTCCGTGTGCATCGCTCACTGAGACTGAGGCACAGCCGCGCCTGCAGGGCCGTCGATGGCGGCCCCTGACTATGTTATTCCTCTTTCGCAGGGGAAAATATGGGAGCCAAGAGAGGCAAGAGCGTAAGGTCACAGGGGTGTGGCAGGCCCAGCCCCACAGATTCTCAAATCCAGGTTCTCCCCAAGCTGCCCAGCAACCATCTCTCCCTTCCCTTGCTGCCTACCGCCTTCTCCCGCCCCTGAGGCAGAGACAGGAGAAAAAATGGAGAGGAGGAGCGGAAGTAAGAGCGACACAAAGAGGGAGTGAGGCCAAGTCCAGGTCTCAGCCCAGGGACGACACCCTGTGCTTCAGCGGTGGGGAGAGGTCTGGTCACCCTGAACCAAAGGAAATGGGACTGGGCGAAGCCCTGTGCACACCTTTGCCAACTTCTGCAGGGCAAATACTCCTCCATGGCTAGACCGGGCTCCCAAAGCACAGCCCGAAAGCAGAGGGGAGAAGTGGAGCCAGCGCCCCTGCAGGCCTCTGCACCCCCTTCCCGTCCTGTGAGCCCAACTTGAGGACGGGACTCCAGGGTAGCCTGGTGGCCCTGGCTGGGGTCAGCCTTCCAAGGACGCCTGTCACTGCTCTCTGACCACACAGGAAGGCGGCTCTTCAGGGCTGGGGAAGTTCTTGGGCCAGGAAATCATCCAGGGAGGGCAAATGACAGTGACAGGTGCTGGGGTCCTCCAGGAACCTCTCAAGTACTCACCCTAATCCTCACCTGCATATAATATTATAAAGCGTCAAGTATGTTGCCAGTGCATGGTGAAACTTACGCTCCAACATTGTTTTATATTTCCCCTATCACTAGCGAGCTTGGGCATTTTCCACACTTTTATTGACCATTTTTATTTTGTCTTCTATGAATGTGCCTGTCTGTATCTTTTGTCAATTTTCTTTGTGCATATTTTTTTTTTTTTGGTAGCAGGGATCAAACTTGGGACCTTGAGCTTGCAAGGCAGGCGGCGGAACCACTGAGCTAAATCCCCAGGACCATCTTTGTGCATATTTTTAAAAATCTATTTCTTGGGGATGGGGATTTAGCTCAGTGGCACCGTGCCTGCCTCGCAAGTGCAAGGTCCTGAGTTCGATCCCCGGTACAAAAAAAAAATTCTATTTCTTTTATCAGTTGATAGGGATTCTGGATACTAACCCTATCTGTGACATAGATGGCAAACAGTTTACTGTTTGTCTTTTCCCTTGTGTACCAGTTTTTAAATTAATAAACCTTACATTTTTAGTTTTATGTTTCGGGAAACATTGCATGGAAAGTGAAGTCCCCTAACCGCTCACCCCACACCCACAGTGGCCCTGTCATTCACACCTGGCATTCCTACAGCATGTTTGTTACAGTGGAGGGGCTGGTTCTCATATGCCCAGAGCTCACAGTAAGGCTCGTTCTTTTCGCTGCACGTTCTATGGGTTTTGACAAATGTTTGGTAGCATGGTCACCATTACCATGTACTCTAGAATGGAATATTTTGCGCTGAAAATCCCCTATTCATCATTCTCTCCCCACTCCTCCCAAGCGCCTGGCAACCACTGATCATTTTACTGTCTCCATGGCTGAGCCTTTCCCTGAATGTCACATAGCTGGAACCATACTGTACATGGCCCTTTCAGAATGGCTTTTTTGCAGAGAGCAATATGCATTTAAGGGTCTTTCCAGTCTTTTCATGGCTAGATATCTGATTTCTATCACTGGATAATATTCTATGGTCTGGATTTTCCATAATTGTGTATGTTTTTTTAATCCTTCACCAACCAAAGGACATCTTGGTTACTTCCAAGTTTTGGCAATTAAGACTAATGTTGCTTTTGTTATGTTTTTATGTTATATAGACAAATTTATCAATTTTTCTTTTTTAGTTTTTGGTTCCTATGTCTCCTTTAAGAAAACCAACATCACTAACACATTCTCCCGTACTTCTCCTAACATACCTACAGATATTTGTCTTGATCCATCTGGAATTTATTGTGATGAATGGTGTGACATAGGAGCTAACTTAGTCTTTTCAATGATTAGGTAATTGTTTTGAACCCTTTACAGTCCGTTCTTTTACACGAGAGAGAGAGAGAGAGAGAGAGAGAGAGAGAGGCCTGCTAAGGCAGGCTGGGCTCGAACTTGTGACCTTTCCCTCAGCCTGTCAGAGTGATGGGTTACAGGCATTACCACCACACCCAGCTGCCCCATTGACTTTAAATGACTCCTTGTACAGGTTGAGAGCATCGCTAATCAAAAAACCCAAAATGGGGCCAAGGATTCAGCTCAGTGGTTACACCGCCTGTTTCGAAAGCGCAAGGACCCAAGTTCTATCCCCGGTACCAAAACAAAACAACCCAAAATGCTCCACAATCTGAAACTCCATGAGCACTGACACGATGTCACAAATGGAAAATTCCACATCTGACCTCAGTTGGTGAGTTGCGATCTATACGCAGGTGCACTAAAAATGTATAAAGACACCTTTGGGCTATGTGTAAAAGGTGCAAACGATACCAAAATGAATTTCACCTTTAGCCTTGGGTCCCATATATTCCCAAATCTGAAAAAATCCCAAATCCAAAACATTTCTGGCCCCGAGCATTTCAGATAAAAGACACTCCCGCTGCCCCGCAGCCCAGCCCCCACGTACTGGCTGTGTGGAGCTGTTACCCGGTCTCCTAACTCCTCTGGTCTGCCCCGCTGACCTCTCCCCGCGCTCTGAGTCAGGGCCACACCGTTCCATCATTGTGCTCTGCGCTTTGCGCACAGCCTGCGGCCTGGAGGTCAGGGCTGTCCTGTTCTCACGTCCCAGCAGGGCAGCACCGCCTCCTCAGCCTCTGCCAGGCCCTCTCCTGACCGTGCATCTTGCTCCCCAGCCCCCGTCTCTGGTAGTTCCGCCTGTCTTCCTCACTACCCCGTCCTGATGTTCTCCAGGGTGGCTGACCTCTCCGTGCCTGGGGTTCCTCGTCCATGCAACGGTACAGGGGCCAGGGAACTCAGAGGCCCCTCTGCCCTGGAAGACGAGACCCATTCCTGAGGACGAGCCTGCCTTGTGCTGGGACAGGGGAGGGAAACAGCACATCTTAAATCAAAACCTCCCGCTGCACCCAGAAGCCACACCCAAAGCTGGCAGAGTAATTAATTTTCCAAAGTCTTCCTTTAGAAAAGCATCGATTCCTCAGCTGAATTCCATTTACCCCCAAATAGGGAAGGCCAGGCTTTAAGAAAACTCAATAAATGAAGACTACAATTCACTCACAGATACCCTGGTGAGACTCTGATGGAATTTTAAGGGTTCTGCCCCAGACCTCAGACCCTCGGTCGTGTTTTCAGAAGCGCTCATTGTGTAGCAAGGTCCCGGAGCATCTGTCCCTCAGCAGAAGGGGCGTTTCCAGCTCATCAGAGTTAGCAGATGACTTTCCGCTGAGTTACTGGCCTCCTCAATCAGCGGCAACTCAATGAGTGAGACTTTCCTGGGCCTGCTGCTGACTCCTGCTGTGGCCTCACCCAGGCCACTCACAGCAGGGATCTCTCCACTGGGGTTTTCCGGAATCTCCCAGCTCCAGGACTGAGGCTCTGGGTGGGGTGGTTGTGGCTCCTCCCGGCCTCCAGAGGACCTTGCAGAATCCTAGGGACCGAGGGCCCAGTGCTGGGCCATCAAGGTGACGCCCTGAGCCCTGAGAAGTGGGGACATTGCTCTGGCCCTCGGAGGTCAGACTGATGGAGC